ATCGATAGTTATCTCATTGGGACTCATCCGTGAAGTCTTAGACTCATTATCCTTAATGTCTTCAATCATTGCAACGTTTGATTCAATCGATGAATTCGTGTCTAAAATTGTGTAAAACAGTAATTAAATAATTAATTTAACTTAATTTAATGTCACTTTTAATAAAAAACCAATATTTAGTAATTTTTAAATAAAAATGCATACTTTGACTGTCCATTGATTTGTTCACTTCATTGCAATAAATACAATACACATCCGATGTCTTCGTCTTCATTAACGGTGTCTATAATTGCGAAACAAATTGTCGTTAAAATTGGTTTGCATTGCGAAGAAGGGATCAAATACCTGACACGTCGGGCAATGGCTGTCCAGAAGTCGGTATCCCTTCAGGAGATAAGTGCCCATAATTTTGGTGATCTGGTCGTCGACGTCTCTCTTCGATGACATTATCACTCAATTGAATGCACTTTAACCACAATTAATGACAATTAGATGAATGTTTCAAATGTTGCCAAATAATGCTGTATTCAACACAAACACCCATTCATTCACACATAACGTAACCAAAGGGTTGTAAAGAAAGCATTGTATTGATTGAATGGGGGCTTAAATATGTAGTATTTGTGTCACGTGTTTTGCGGACAGAGATATGAGTGTAAAAGCGCTGACATCTGGTATTTTGGGACCAATTGTCACACATTTTAATGTTTTGCTTTGAAATACATGTGTTTTAATTGCAATTAAGTTTATTGTTGTTAATTGTGTTGAATTGTCTGCCATTTGAGGAGTGGTTTGCATAATGTATGGGACGGGCAGTGGTAGGCGAGGAGCGGTCGGTCGGACGCCTTACGACACTTCTCTGAGCTTTCGCTCCCAATTGAATCAATTGGCGACAAATCGGAGTCAAAGCAACCAATCGTTTGATCAATCGATGAATAAATCATATTTAAAGTCATATAATGTGTGAGTATTTCATTAATTGTGTCCACAATTGTAATGCATTGTCAAGTGTTGGTTCACTAGCAGTGGCCATAAGATGATGATCGGCTTTGAGCCCTTGATTACCATGTGTTTTGTTTGTTGTCCGCAATTGATTTAACTGATCTCTGTTTACATTTGATTTACAGTTTGGGCGACACTTCCCTCAACTCATCTGCCCATCAATTGAGTCAATCAGTGCTAATCAGTCAAACCGCTTACCACACACTCAAACCCTATGTATCTTTGCTACCAGTGCTGGTCATCGAAGCCATCTCTTCAGATGGTATGTCAACCACACTATTGTTTTGATCCATTCATTCATTTAGTTAAACACAACCATTGATTTACTGTGAACATCGATGATGTGCCCAATCCTTTATATACCACTTAAATGATAATCTCTTGTGTATAAAATTTAAATTATTTTAGTGGCAATTAATAGCAATTGTGTTAATATTGTTGTATAAAACGGCTTAAAACTAATTTACTGTGAATTTGCATTCATTTTGTATCGATATAATCAACAAAGTGGTTGAATGATTAATTTTTAAGCATTTATTTGATAGATGTATTGGTTTTATATTTAAATATTCATTGTTTGCGTAATATTTGGGAAATATATGTATTATTTATGAATTTCTCTGTAAGAGATCACTATATCATTGATAACTATATAATGTTTTGATGATATTTATTGTGATGAGAATATTCACTCGTTTTCTTCCAAAACATTTTTGACAAAAACAAACCTAAAAACCAAACAATTAATCATTTTAGGCGTCGTTCACAAAGTACGTGCGCACTTTTTAGAAAATCTAGACCCCCTCCCCCCCTTATGTTCGCACTTGTTCGCATGTAGACATTCCTAGGCCACAGAAACCGAGTTTTATAAAGTTAGCATGATTAGCCTTTATACAGTAAATTTTATATATCATAT